TGGTTGCAAAGGATAGGGTGGAGTCTGCCTGTGATGAAGGTTGTTAGCTATTTTTCTTTTTCTCGTCGTCTGTATGACATGAACAAGAATGTTTTTACATTTTTTTCGTGCTTGCTAGATGATAGATGGCTGCTACTGCATAACGTCGAGCTCATGTCTATACCATGCCGCTACATCCTTCCATGATTCCATCGTCGACTACCGCTCGCCACTCGGTTGCCCTCTCCAATCTCCAGTACCAGTCACAAGACACACACCAGCATTTACATCCTTATAGCAAGATCAAGCAAAGCCACCAGGATCCCAACTTCACCATGGATTTTTGGCTGAATCATTTTTCTTCTTTTCTAGTTTGATTCACCTGTGAGTAATTTTATCACTCGTGTGTAATTGAGCCTGTAATTTTTTTCATTCGTACGACCATTTTGTGAACAGATTAACAATACTCTTAGTATCAGTTTTTGCTCTTATACTATATATTGAACACATCAATAAACATATTACTACACGGTGGCTACGAGATCATGGGCTATATCGAGAGGAAAGTGGTAATTGTTTTACTCACAGACCACGAAGTCTAAATATTTATAATACTGGTAAAAGAATTACTAGTATTGTAAGCTGGTAGTAATTCTTTTACTGTCGTCTAGGAATGGTGTTGTACAATGGGGGGCATTCATGCAAGTAAATTTGTTACTTTTGAATGGGACATTCATGCGAGTAAATTTGTTACTTTTTAATGGGCAGATGTGGGAGGCTGAGAGTAAATGGAAAACTCCACAAAGTAAATTCATTACTTTTTAAACGTGGGGAGACACTAGGAAAACAGAAAATTTCCAAAGAAAAAATAGACGGTAAATATTTTACTAAAACGTGAAAACAGAAGAACCAGAAAGAAGGAATGAAAGAGGGAAAAATCTGGATGGTTAATATTTTACCGGGCCCTTTGATGGAGCACGGATGAGATGGAAAAGTAAAAAAAAAAGAAACATGGAAGGTGGGGTGGTAAAAAACAAAAGAAACGCGACAGAGGAAATTAAGGTGGGTGGTAAAAAAAGGGAAAAACCAGAAGAAGGAAACGTTGTGCAACGCTCAAACTAATATTATGCGCGCATTGCGAGTATTAGCGCCACCATCAATATTATTGGTCAAAGTTTGAAAGAAAATCAAGTATCATATATTCCTTCCATTTCACATTACTTCTCATTCTAGTTTTGTCCTATGTCATATACTTTTATCTTTGATCATAAATTTTTCAAAATTCATGTATGTTTTACAACAAATGAATTATATATTACAAAAGTACATCGTTGTAATTGTCTCTTTCAGTCCATATACAGTACATGCTACTTAAATTTACTTTGTTATAAATGCCCCAAAATTTTGTCAGCCATACATGATACATCCAATACAAGATGAAGGAAACACTAGGAGTATTGGTTCCAAGTAATGGAAACCTGTAAGCCCAAGCCCAAAATTTTGAAAGAAACACGACTCAACATTAGCTTGAGCAGAGAGGTTGAGTGAACTACACTTTTGACGCATTTGCTTTGGTCCAAACTTGTTCTCTGTGCTTGATGACCACAAGATAGCTAAGCTGCGGGAATGGGAGGCTCTGAGAAGGACGATGGTGTGCCACGTTTCGCCTCGCTGCTTGCTGTGGAGTGTGGAAAGAAGGATCCATCGACAAGAGCAACTCCTGAAGTGTTTGCAGCGACCAGTACGACCACATCAAGCAGCTCATCAAACACCTTCAGTGCCAGCTTAAGATGAGGAAGGCATGAAATCAAGGGAAATTTGAAAAAAAAAACACCCCAAATATCAGCTTGAGTTTGAGATTCTTATTATAAAACGATTTGTTGCAAACAGCCCCTTTCAATCTATTTTGGTTTGATGTTCCTTCCCAATAAGCAATTACCATTTTTTGTGTTTTTTCTTGCATCTTTTCTTTGTTTTTTTTAAAGGAGGGCAAAAGCTTTGCCTCGTATATTAATAGAGATGGAGAAAAAATAGATCAAAGTAATATGTACAGGGCAAGCCTCGAAAGCTAAACCCGCAAGAATCCGCGAAAAATTCCAAACTCTTGAAGCTTTGAGGCTCCAGCCTTGACCCAAGCTCGAGCTTCCTCCTTGATCTTGGCGATGATGGAAATCGGCGTTGAGGCGGTGTTTTGGAAGATTTTTGTGTTTCGTTTGCACCAAATTTCCTAGGAAACCAAGATCACCAATATTCGCAAAGGAATGCGGGAATTGTTAAGGGAGTCTACCACAAGGCTCCACCATTGTTCCACCGAGTCGTAGTCACTCCATTTGCTCATTTGGAGGTCAGTTTGGTCCACCTTTGTATTTCTATCCATACCCTCTTGGTAACTCTACAGTGTGTCAGAAGGTGGACCGATGATTCATTGATTATGTAGCACAGCGGACAAATCTTCTGATTTTGCCAACCTCTTTTCTTGAGTCTGTCAGTTGTCCAAAGTCTATTTTGGGTGACGAGCCAGGAAAAGAATTTGCATTTTGGTGGGGGCCACGCTTTCCAAATGGATTGGTTGAAGGCAGATCTCGCAGTCTTGCATCTTTTCATGTGTGTTACATGACTCAGCGCACTTTTCGATGGACATATACATTTTCTTTCCCAATAATGTGTGCTATACTGAGCTCATCTTTCTCATTTTGAATCTAACCAAAGAAACAAGTCACTGTTGAATCCCATGAGACAAGTGTAATAGCTCATCTTCCAGCAATCTCAATGCTTAAGAGCGAAGACTCTGGACTATCACCGTCCAACTACATGCTAGACACCATAAGTAGGGATTCCACGATCATGTCATCGTCCACGCTAGACACAATGACCACCACGGTCGTGGGTTTGTGGCCCCAAGAATGGACGAGTAACGGCACTTGGGGGTAATCTCAAACAAAAATGACTTACGAGAGGGGTATTTGCAACAAACTCAAGGTGATATTTGTGGTGTTTTTACAAGTTTCCTTAAAATCAAATGCCCCTATGCTTCCATGACAGCCACACAGGTAGCGGTGGCAATGGGTCAAGACCCATGTACCAGGCTCTCGAATATTTTTAAGGTCAAAAATTAATTAAAATTCAGCCTATTCTATTTTAGATTAGCTCTTAAATTTTATATACTAACTTTGTTAGGTCCTTTATCACCCTAGACACAGGTGAAACGATCGAAAACTTAACGGCGGGACATATTTGTTTTGATGCTGTTGAGAAAAAAAAATCTCGCTAGTCATATTTAGGAAATATTGCAGTAGATATCACCGGTGCTTTTGTCATAAGCCTACAATGTTTTAAATTATACTTAGCATATCACTCGTGCATTGTAATATACGATTTTAATTAAATAATTATCATTAATTTATTATTACCATCTGTCTGCATATATCATTTTTTTAACTTCTGAATATTTTGTTCACCAGCAATGCATGTGTTTATTCCCTCTTGAGCATTACAGAGCAGCAAGGAATTTGTACTTGGGTCATGAGATATAATCAACTAATGTTTTTTAGGAAATTAAGACAGGTAAAAAGCGATAGTCTTTGACATTGGACAAGGAAATACTTAATGGTCACACGGACCAATTGCCAAGAACTTATAACGAAGGTCCTTGACAAGTACATGGTAGTTGCCCAACTTTTGGTTAAATTTATAGACTGATATCACACAGAGAGCCAACAACGAACGCGCCCTGCTCTTTGTTTGTTGAAGAATTATTTTTCTTCAAGTATTGAATTGTTAACGGCAGTACTGCTCTTTGTTTGTTGTCATTTGATAGACATATCAAATCTATCAAATGACAACAAAATTATAGTCTATAGTACATATGAACGGGAGGCATTTGGAATTGCTTGCAAGATGATGAGATTGAGCCTAGTTCTGCCCAAGAATGTGATGCGGCATGCTATTGCTAGCTGGAAAATACTCGATGAAACTAATAATGTTCATAGGTATATATCAAACATATTAGAGATTATATCAAAGTTTGTGCCGTTAAATAGTCTGGTATAGTAACAATTAATCTTTTCTTTTATAACTGGTATATACTAATAACAATCTGCTGTAAAAGTAATGGGAGACTAACATGGTTGTTAATAAAATAGTTCACAATATAACTCGTGCTCGTAGCGATGGGAGGGGTGCGATAGTTTTCGTGTCCGATATATATAAGTTGGACAACGGATAAATTCATAGAATTATTGAGAGCTCCATGGATTGCCCTAATAAGTTAAAGTGAAAGTCAAATTTTAAATTTTTAAATTTAATTTTTAAAGTTAATTTTAAGATAATTTCAATGTGGTTTATTTTCTACATTGACTTTTAAGTCGCACTAATAACACATATATAAAAATTGTACATGTAAATTAATTTTTATTTTCTAATAAACCATTTTGACTTATTAAAAAATATAGGCAACCGATGAGTACCGAAAATACTACGGTAATTTCTAAATGTATATAACGTTAAAAAGAAGATATAAAGGGAGTATATAATGTTTGTTTTTCTAATAACATTGATGGGTAACAATCGATCTCATCTTTTCGCTTATATTTATACTTATCAGCTATAATTTAAAGTTTTCATTTTAAATTGGGAGTTAATTTTAGAGTTTTTTCATCGTAGTTTATTTTTCAGTCTTTGTTTTAAATCGCTAAGAACATGTGTATAAAAATTTTATTTATAAATTATTTTACGTTTGCAAATATATTGATTTGGATTTATTTCTTAGAATAAGGCAAACGGTGGGGCTGAATATTAGTACCATCGACAGAGCATCATATCCCTTGCAACACACGCTTCCAGCATTCGAAAAGCACGATCAGCGTGATACCTTGCGTGAGCGAGTGTGAAGGCAGTTTCAACTTTCAACAAGTACTGTACTTTCTTCGATCCAGCGGGGGAGAGTTTCCGTTTCCCTTCACGGAAAACGCCTCCCGCCCCGGAATTTCGCAGGGTAAAGCGGGGGTGAACCGCCGCGAAAGCGTCCCCGGATTCTAGATTCTTCCATGTGGGCCCCCCGCGCGACCCCTAACTTTATACTCCTCGTCCTCCCCCCACGCGGCCGCGTCCAGGTCATCGTCGTCGCCTCGCCTCGCCTCGCCTTCCCCCGCGTGGCCTCGCCGTCGGATCGAGCCACGCCGCCGCCGCCGCCGCGTCGCGGATCCCCACGCTCGCCGAGAGGAGGAGGAGGTGATGCCGCTTCCCGCTTGCCCCCACCCTCTCCTCTCGTCTCGCGGTTGCTTGGGTGCTTGTATGCTGGGTTTGTGCGATTCGGATTTGGGTTCGGGGCCGGTGGTCGATTCGGAGGGGGCACTGGCCGATTCAGGCGTAGATTTGGTTTGTTTGTTTATGGCGATCTGTTGTTTGCTAGTTGTTCATACGCGGGTTGGTTTTCCTAGAGAATTGGGATTTTTTTTAATTGTTCTGCGATTACGGTAGAAATAGATCGGGCTTATGGATAATCCCGTCTTCTTCTAGCGTGTGATTTTATCCTCCAACGTGGGAGATATTCCTAGATGTTTTATTTCCTTGTGTTGTTTATTTATGCTTAGATTGTTGATTCCATCCTTGTGGATCGTCAGCATCTTATTCTAGATGATCCTATATAATTGTGTGAAACAAAATTGAGGTTGTTGGGAGGGTTTCTGATCATCAGCTGTCCTCTTTACCGGCACGAATTTGGGGAATCTTTCTTGGTTGTGTTCTTGTTGGCTTATACCTTTTTTATGTTTTGCTCAAACTCATGAGATTTTTATCGTTTAATGCTGGATCCTTATGTATGACCACATGCTAGTAGCTGGCGGAGCAACTTCGTAATTGTTGCTAGTAGCCATTATATTACATAGTACTCCTAATATATTCTATCAGTTTTGCATAGCTATTTCTAGCATTGTTGGTGATTGTAGTTTCATTGGCAATTGCAGCTTCTTGCACTTTGAAGAAACAGCAAGATGGCAGCCAATGTTGGGGAATCTACAAGCAGCGGCACCAATGGCGATGCAGCTGGGGGGAGCTTTGAATGCAATATCTGCTTTGAATTGCCACAAGAACCAATAGTTACTCTCTGTGGCCACCTCTTCTGCTGGCCATGTATTTACAGGTGGTTGCACATCCACGCACACTCTCCAGAGTGCCCGGTGTGCAAAGCTGTCGTTGAAGAGGATAAGCTCGTTCCCCTTTATGGGCGTGGCAAGGACCGCGTCGATCCAAGGTCAAAGAACATACCCGAGGCTGACATTCCTAACCGCCCAACTGGCCAGAGGCCTGCCACAGCTCCACAGGCCGATCCTAACAACAATTTTGCCCATGCCAATCCTAATGCTAATGCCAATCCATGGTTCATGGGCACTGGAGTACCATTGGCTAATGCACGGTGGGGGAATTATGCATTCTCAGCTGCGTTTGGAGGCCTATTCCCTATGCTTAGCTTCCAAGTGCATGGATTTCCAGATGCAAATCCTTATGCACAGCCTGCTGGGTTTCACTATGGGTATGGCCATGGTCATGGATTCCATGGCGGACATATGGGTCATGCCGCCCACGGTGTCCCTCGACAAGGACCACTGGAGCAACCGCAGCAGGCAGACATCTACCTGAAGGCCCTGCTAATCATGGTTGGATTTCTTGTGGTTGCAAGCCTTCTTGCATTTTAAGATTGTTAACAGATTCACCTGGTGATAGAAGATGGTAAAAGAATTGCCAGCATATCCCTGTGGCGTTGTGGTGCGTGCAGTTTCTTCCTGCCAAATGTGGCATAAGTTATTTTGCGTATTTACATGAAGTGTTCATAGAATATTTGCATGTAGATGTAGGATAAGCATCTGGCTTTTTATAGCCTCATATGTAGTACTATAATTAGGAGGAGCCATTTTATTTTCTTTTCTTTTTTTAGTTTTGACTGTTTTGATGGATATGATGTACAATTATTGGGATGTTGTCTCCATGTGTTGTATACATGTAAGAATAGTTCTTCCCAAACTCTTGCTTGCAATTTGCACCAATTTCCAGTTTATATACATTGATGCTTGACAGTCAGTGTGCTGATATTATTATAGTCTTGAACAGAAGATACAATATAATTCTTGGTAAGAGTTATTTGATATATGTCATTATGTCAGGGAGTGCCAATGTCAGTTGAATATTTGAAGAATGGTAAGAAAATATGATGGCCGATCAGGTTTGAGTTTGGATTGTTGCCCCTCGGCTGTTTTCTCCAAACTATTCTGGGATGTTTCTGCTCGCAATCTGTGATCTGGAAATGACAAACTATTCTGGGATGTTTCTGCCCGCAATCTGTGATCAGGAAATGAGATATTTTGTCACGCAGGATGTGCACTGGCTCTGCGCTTGGATGCCTATCCAAAAAAATGTTGATCGCCTTCTTTATCCAGAATGTACGTGGACAGATCATTTGCAGTTTGTGCCCTCTCATAAGATTATCAACAGGAGAGATTCGCAAAAAAAATGAATGGTCGACTACTCATTTGGAGTCGGTTTCGATCCTCTCTCAATCATGTAACGTGTAGTACGGCTCTCTCAGAAAATGGGTTGTACTACCCTTGTACGGGAGTGAGGGTGTGTTTAGTTTTATTTGGGTGTAAAGGGTCTGTTCACTTTGATGTTATTTTTCACTTTGATGTTCACTTTGATGTTATTTTCAACCTTACCAAATTTTGTTAAAATTATCAAAAAAGTGGCTACATTTAGTTTGTTGCCAAATTTTAGTAACTATATAAGAAATCTTATCAAAATTTTAGCAATTTTGGCAATGCCAAATTTTGGTAAGGTTTTTTTTTCAATCAAAGTGAACAGGCCTAAAGTTTTTGAAGTATACAGACGGAAATTTGAAGTATTAAACATAGACTAATAACAAAACAAATTAACGTAGACTAATAAGAAAACAAATTACAGATTTCACCTGTAAACTGCGAGACGAATTTATTAAGCCTAATTTATCTGTTATTAGTAAATATTTACTATAGCATCACATTGTCAAATCATGGCGTAATTAGGCTAAAAAGATTTGTTTCACAATTTACATACAAACTATGCTATTGGTTTTTTTTCCCCACATTTAATGCCTTATGCATGTGTCCAAACATTTGATGTGATCTTTTTTGCTAAAATTTTTTTATCTAAACAAGGCCTAAGTGATCTGGCCAATTTTGCTTGCTTGCATGCTTGAAGCCCCCGCCGTAAACGAAGAATAATTTATGAATAAAACTTTTATATGTGTGTTTTTAATGATCTAGAAGTAAAGGCTGAAAATAAATTACGATGAAAAAATTTCAAGATCGACTACAAATTTAAGGTTAAAAATTAAATTTTAGCTAATAAATATAAGTATAAACGAAAAGATAAATACCGGATATTTTAAGACCTCAAAATGTGCACAGAGGAAGAGTCGCAGTACGTCTGGCAAAGGAGTACTACCAATCAGGTAGTGACAATGTGACGTCCATCATGGAGTGGCCATGTGTCAAGAGAATACTACTAACAGTGTCAGTGACATGCTCGGCAGCTCTCTCAAACAGTCAAAACAACTCTTCTGGTACCGTTTCAGTCTGCAATTTTTTGTGATTGGGAGTGAGATTGTTCTTTTTTTTTTCGCAGTTACATGTTACAAAACACACACTCTCGAATGTGGCCTCCTAGCATGCTAAAAGACGAGGGTCAATGATGAATCTCTAAGCTCATTAAACTCGTATCGAATGAGACGGTTGTTTGTTCGAGAGGAGAAGAAACGCTGTGTTGGTAGCACATGAATGTGCTCTGTGCTAGTGTGCTTGGATTGGATCCAAAGCATCATGTATCAGTCAGTTCCTCCTATTTCCAAAAATGTTAGTCGCCTCCATCTAGGTCATTCCCAAATCACAACTTGTGCCCTTAGCTAAGAGCAGGTACAATAGCAAACTATTAGCTAACTATAAACATATTTTAATGAGATAAATGATGAGAGAGAAGAGCAGCGGGCTACAGATCTATAGCCAGCTGCAGCACGGACTACAAGACACACTGTATATATGACAGGTAGGACCATATATTAATAGTATAGTAAGCAACTATTGTATGAATTGGCTATAAATGAATTGGAGCTAGTAGTGGGCTATACTATTAAACTTGCTCTAAGAAGATTATCTAATATTAGTACTAGTATTTTCTTAACGAGAGGCTTGGAACTGTCTGAGTGCGTATTTATTTATAGACGATTCTGAAACTTTTTGACAATCATAGGGCCAGCCAGTTTGACCTCGATGCCACAAACTTTTGAAGCACCAAAATGGTCCAAATCTGCAAAGAAGAAGAGCAGTCGAGACAATTCTTCTCCCTCCAGAAAAGCAAGCAGAGCATTGTTTGTTCCTGTGCGCATCCGTTTGGATGTGAAGGGCGTTGAAAATTCGGCCGATCCCCAAAAACCACCGATGGATGGAACAGCAGCCTGCCATATCTGGAATTCTTGATTGTGACCGTAAAGCTACTGAGGAAAGCTGCCGCTGCTACCACTGCAGAAACCACGCCACCGATCGCAATACAAGCTGAAGAGCGTTAAGAATCAGCCGAAGCCAAAATTTAAATTCTAAAACTTAATTTTGTAGCTAATTTAATAATAATTTTAATATAATAATTTTCATTGATTTCTAAGGTTGCGTTCGATCCAGCTGGTTCCCAACCCCTCTCTCTTGTTTTCCGCACACACGCAAACTGCTAAATGGTGTGTGTTTTGTAAAAAGTTTATATACGAAAGTTTAAAAAAAATCATATTGACACATTTTTTTTAAAAAAATAGTAAATATTTAATCAATCACAGGTTAATGGACCGTTCCGTTTTCTGTGCCAGAAGATAGCGTTCCCAACCTAGGGAAACTAACGCAACCTAAGTCGCTAAGAACACAGTAGTACTTTCGTGTCATAGAGGGTGTTTAGATCCAGAGGTGTAAAGTTTTGGCGTGTCACATCGGATATTATATAGGGTGTCGCATGGGGTGTTTGGGCACTAGTAAAAAAACTAATTACAGAATCCGTCAATAAACCGCGAGACAAATTTATTAAGCCTAATTAATCCATCATTAGCAATATTTACTGTAGTACCACATTGTCAAATAATGGAGCAATTAGGCTTAAAAATTCGTCTCGTAAATTAGTTGCAATATGTGCAATTAGCTACTTTTTTAGCCTATATTTACTTCATGCAGGTGTTCAAACGTTCGATGTAACGGGGTGAAAAATTTTGGGGTGGAAACTAAACAGGCCCATAATTGCCCAGCACCCTAAACAACACCATATATAATAACCTAATATGACACGCTAAAACTTTACACCCATAGCTTCCCCTTATAAAGAGTTTGAGGCAATTACAAATTTACCACTATTTTGAATCGTTATTACAAGACTGTCACTAGAAAATTGCAAAAATGCTACTAGAACTATCGTTCGAGTGACATACTTGTAATATTGAAAAAATCGGTGGCAAATTTACAAATACCGCGAAGAGTTTTTGGTCAATCGGTTGAAAGGGCTGAACTGAGCAAGGAAAAAGCGACGTCCACGCAGCAGCAAAGCCAGCAAGGCAGCAACGATGGCGCGGGCGCGGCTGCGCGTCGCGGCGGGAAGCTTCTTGGAAAGGGAAGGCGAGACGAGACGGACGCGGGTAAGTACGTACGGGGTTTGGACCTGCAAATCTGCAATGGGCAAGTGGGTTGGGCAACTATAGCCTTGGCTGGGCTTGGGTTTAGTGGAGACGCCACTGCCTCTGCCTGCCTTCCTTGTGACCAACTCATCGACTACCTCTGCTTTGCTTTGCTATGCTGCGTGACTGGGCTGTCTGCGTTTTGCTTCCTTGTAGTACTACAAGACTATGGGTGTGTTTTTCACGTCAAAATTAAAAGTTTTGTTGAAATTGAAACGATGTAACAGAAAAATTAGATGTTTGTGTGTGTAGGAAAGTTTTGATGCGATGAAAAAGTTAAAAGTTTGAAGAAAAATTTTGGAACTAAACTGGGCCTATAACTGCATTAATTCTGCATTTAGAGGTTGAGGTTGGAAACTCCGCTTTCCCTTATGAAAAATCCATTAACGCATAATTATTAAACATTAGTTAAAAAATTAAAAAATAATATAATTTTTAAAAACAACTTTTTCATATAGTTTTTTTTTTTAAAAAAAACACCGCTTATCAGTTTCAGAAGCATGTGTGGACAACGAGGGAGTGGATGTTAGAAACCTAATGCGCCGAAACACAGCCTTATCAGTCCGGCGATATCAACTCTTACTAATCATAGAAATAGATTAAGTTGATGTGTGCTTAGTGGACAACAATACCAGCTTTAATTATCCTAGTCAGTTTGGAAGGATCTGATCAGCCGCTAATCCTAGCTGTGCGTGATGCCAGATCAACACGGTGAATCGTATATAAAACTTATCAGCAAGTAATCCAGCTGCATATGTAAGTAATATAACTACTACATTACTTTGGTTTACCAGCATGATTTTACGACTGCTTTGGTCCCTTTTTCTGCAGCTTGTCGGGTCAATCAGCTTCGTGGTTGATGAACTGAAATCAGTTGACGAACAGAGCTTTCTTGACGGTGAGATGTATGCTAGTCCGGTCTAACAGCTGGCTTACCTGTGAACTTTCTTTTCTGCAAACGACGGCTCCAAAATTAGACGCTTCAAAAGGCAAAAAAAACTGTCCAGTTTCTCAGGCTCGTGGTCGCACCATCGTCCAGCCTCTGACCCCAACTCTGACTTCGAATTTACAAATGGGCGACTAATTTTAGCAGATCATCCTGAGATCCTAATCACACAGTGGTGGTGCACGTACCTAATTCCGAGCCTAATAGTTGACGGCGAGTTTACCTGTTTGACCTGCCCGTCAAAGCCATCTTTGGACTCATTGGCTTTAGTTTGCATAGTTGCATTCAGGTTTACGATCTATCTAGAAACCACGAAATCCGGATTATTATTTTTTGGGATCGGCTTAATTTTTTATTAAGTTAAAGAAAAATCGAAGTAGATTTAAAACTTTTGACAAGATATGTCTGGATTTTATCTGTCTTTATTGGTTTATTAATGGAGATACCGCTTGCAAGTGATTTTTATCTAGTATTGAGATTGTGAACTAGAGGCGGATTCAGAAAGATAGCAAGAGAGACTGAATAAATTAGTTAAAACTCCAACACTTCTTTTAAGGTACGTATGACAGAAAATTTCAGAGGGCTCTCCTGGTCACGGTGTTGATAGTGAAGGGTTCGAAGTTTGAACCCTCGCCGTTCCACGCTAGATCCGTCCCTGTTGCGAACCCTGGTTGCATTGCTGCTTGCTCTTGGTGAGACATTCATGTGTTGGAATTGGGTTTGGAATTGTAGGCGGCGGCAGCAGCAGCAGCTGGTTCAGGTACAGGTCACAGTAATGGGAGACAAGTTGCGGAGACCGCGACGTCGTTCGTGTACTAGGAAATGGTTTTGGTAGGTGTGCTTTGGTTAGTGCGGTGATGCACAGAAATTTGGCATGCTATGACCTAGCTGTACATGAAAAACTCGATCGGTTTTAGACGGAGCTGGTTAGTTAGTTAGTTTGTTAAGCGTCTTTGTGATTAACGAGTTGGACAACTTTTTGGGGATAATTGATTATCTTCAGTTGTAGACAATCTCGAATTCAATAGGAAATTGTAGAGGGAAGGGGACAATCTCTAAATCAATCTGAATTTGTAGAGTGAACGGGGCAAATTAAACAGAAGCTTTGCAAGGAAGGTGATCTTCAAGAGATGGGCAACCTGAATTAAATTTCAGTCACTTTTCTTATTTAATCTAATGGTTCTCATCACACCTAGCTCTTTCTTAGATAACAAGTTAAGCAATAAACTAGTCTAACATACAAAAAGTTTTTTAAAAAAAACACCAAACTACATGAAAGAAACTTACAATTTATACAGATTTACAATATTACTAGATGTAAACAAGTATTCAAACTCAGATAAAATAAAGTAAAACCATATATGTAACCACAAAATTAAGTAAAATTGTATATTACATACCAATGTAATTTCGGCTTATGGATGTGTAATTTTTTTTTACTGAAATTTTGAAATCTAGCAATACCGTATATATAAAAGTATATTTGACCTCTGCATTATCCATATGACCATAGACCCAATATTTTTTCAGTAACACAGTACAAGCGTAGTCGCTTATAACACGGGCATGATCACCCCTATAAACGCACATCCCCGCACCTTACCCCTATGAGCGCCTTCAAAATGATGGGTCGTTATATCTTAAAATTGACCTAGTCATCATGAACATTTCGCTATTGATGGGTACGTTACTTACCACTGAAAAAAATAATTAACCGTAAATAAGAGCATCCGTATCAAGTCTAAAACTTAAATACATGTGGGTTGATTAAAGAAAACATAACCAGTTGAGTCATGCACAATTCGCACAGACCTAATATTTGAACCCGGTTGTACATAGTACACATTAACACGGTTGAGTTTTATTTTTTGAATGCGAACAGGGATGAGTTATTAGCTCATGAACATTCCTACCAGTGTTTTACCGTTATCTCTACTGATACTGATACCGTTCAGTTTTTATAATCAATTACTCCCTCCCTCCCAAAATATAGCAACCTAGAATCGGATGGAACGTATTCATATTTCATCCGATTTAGAATACGTTCCATCCGATTCTAGGTTGCTATATTCTGAGACGGAGGGAGTAGTTTTTATGACAATTGACGGTGGGGATGATTAATTTACTTGCTTTGTGTTTTACACCTTTCGAGAGATCTTTGACTTCCTGTAATTCATTCTTTTTAATTACTTGTTTCATGTTTTACACGGTTTTAGATGTC